GTAATTTGATACAATATTATCGTGTTTGACTTTCAAAGGCCCATAAATCGTTACAATGTTAATAATGACTATAACTATCGTTTGGAACTAGTATATCTCTTATTTCTGAATCGATTGGTGGTATTTCTGTCTTCATAGCATGCACTGAACCGAATGTACGAAATTTATAGCCGTCGATCGCTGAGGATCGACGCGACATGGCCTGTGGCGAGAAAGAGTTTTAAAGGCTCCAATCTCCGCAATGGCCTTCAGATCATCTGGCAATAAGTGGGAGCCGGTGGGAGCTACTACTGAATAAGTGGGAGCCGGTTATCACAAACTGGAGAGTTTCGAAATATAGATAAGCGCAAGACAAATGTTAAAACAGAATTAATGATAGAAGAGGGGGGGATGAAAATTTTCACTTAGCATTGAAGGGCGTTACGAGAATATTTCCATAGGTTTATGGGAGGGTATCGGGAAATATGTACTCGAAATTTCATTTATCCTCCACCCCCTCTAGTAATTACTTTATGACAGGTCCCTTAGCCATGTTTCACCACTGTGTTTCACAGAAATTATGTATCTACCTATTATTATTAGGCATTATACACATGCCATGGTTACACTGTTACAAAATTATTGTGGGAAATAGCTGGAATACTGCACTTTCCGGACTGGCAGGATATGGCCTGGCTATAATGTAGAGTGCATGCAGGTAGTTATATATTTATAATAATATATATAATAATTATGCACTTATTATTCCCCTGTTGTTGCAGTTACGCGCAAATGCATGCATGCATGAACATAATAATTTTAGAATTTTTCCCCCCTGCAATTACAGTTTATTTGGTACCAACAGAAAATTACTCCACAAGACAGAATTCAGATTTTTTCATATTTAATCAACAGTATACATGTATAACTGGCTATAAAGATTGCTTTCCAATGTCCATTTTTCTTTCTTACTGATTGTGAGTTCACTAGTGGGAGATTAAATATCCAGCAAATGTCGTGTATCTTTCTAGGCCATAAACAGCAAAGGAAGAATTTTTGACCAGACGAACCCACACGTTCTGACCTTTCTTCAATTGTATAAGAACTGTCTTACTCAACTGATCATGATTCTTGTGGTTTGCGTGCACGAGAGTATACTGGCTGCCATCTTTCATCAACTTCACATAACTCTGATAACCATTCCGTTGCAAATACGAGAAACTGATTTGATAAATACCATCAACAGGGGCAGTGGACCGATGGCGCAGGCGACAGTAGACAAACAACAACAATGGTTTGGTTTTCTTATTATTAAATTATACAAACACGAAATTTGCATAAAATATGTATATATAATCTGAAGCTATAAGATAAAGAATATAAAGAAAATTACGACTATGTTTACAAATATAAATACAATACATTACGTTACAATTACACTGTTTTTAACTTACATTTGTCCAAACCAATGATAAACTT